AGTCATGTGATCCACCGGCAAGAGAGGGCTCCAGCAGAAGGCATCCTCTATAAGATAAGGCTTATAAAATATATAGATTTATGATAATTAAAACTGAGCTAACAGATGAGAAATCCTAGTCATTGGCCAAGCAGCATTTGTACCTAATATAAGTCTCTGTGTGTTATTTGGGGCCCTAACTCGGTGGACAGAACTCGGGCAGCTGGTGGAAAGCGCCCACATGGTGGTAGGGCTAGGGTGGCTTTTGGCGAAAAGACTTATGGTAACACCAGTTTCCTGACTTCCAAACAAGAACAATTCCAGAGATTAGTAAATATCACATGGGAATACATATGTGTAAAATTCTTAGCACAGCTCTTAGCTTAACTGTGCTCCCTCTGCGGCACACAGAAGCCAATGCATTCCTACTACACTACACATGTTCAAACAAGTCCTAGCATCCATAATGGTCTAATGTAGATCTTGAGCAGAGGGAGAAACTAACATCATGAAATGTGCTTCCCCCCCTTATTTATTTTTATAAGTATGGGTGTTCTGTGTCCCTGTATGCCTGTGCACATGTGCGCCAAGTGTCTGTAGAGGTCAGTTACAGATTGTTGTGAGCTACCATGTGGCTGCCGAGAACTGTGTCTAAGTTTTCTGAAATAACAGCCAGCTTTTAACTTCTGAACCACTTCTCCAACCCTTATTTATCTTTATTAAGGTAATGATAAAGCCAAAAGCTCAGTATTTATTACCAATATTACAAGCATATGAACAGAACTAGCAAAACCAGTAACCATACCCAGGCAATTATCAACACACAATTCCCACATAAACTCAGTAGTTCAGAATGTCAGTCCTCTCAGAACTTTATATATAGTTAAACAGTCCATCACGAACAGAAAGAGATCATGTTTTGAGTAACATCTAAATAAAACCTTAGAGAGTTTAGGTTTCCTGCTAATGTAAGATTCCCAGAGAACATGGTGGCTTGAATGAGTACAGAATGAACTGCAATTTCAACATAAGGATTTGAAAAAAAAAAATAAGTCAAGAAAGTGTTTTAACCAAGAAGAAAGTTCATTAATGTGGCAGATCTAAATGAGGCTCTCTTCCCTATGTGTGAATCTCAGTAGCATTTGGTGGCACACTGACATATAACAGACCTTCTCTACAGCACATTTACCAACTAGATAAATACTATCTACCTCTCATGGTACTGAAATGTAGAGGAAGACATTTTGAAATTGTCAGGCTGACTGAGGAGAACAGAGAGGAATGCTAATGGCAATCAGTAGTTGGCTTCAACTCCAAATGAAGGGGAGTCACACACCACACCTATCACGCCACTGTATCTAAACTACTCTCAGCCTACAAAAACCAAACAAACAAAAACCAAGTCAATGTCCCCCATCCTCCTCCCCCTTTCTTAAGATTAAATAAACCCAGTGTGGTGACATGCCTTTAATCTCAGCACTTGGGAATCAGAAGCAGGCATATCTGTGAGAGTTCAAGGCCAGCCTAGTCTACAACCAAGTTCCAGGATGGCCAGGACTGTTAAACAGAGAAACAGTTTTGAAAAGCAGAAACAAACAAATAACAAAACAAAACAAAATACAAACAACAACAAAAAAATAGATTAAGTCAAATAAGTTCTTTCCCCTTTAAATCTTCAAAGTCCAAGTGTCAAGCCAGAAAATATTCAACATGGCCCTTTGTAGAAGGAGATTTACTATAATACTAGGACTGTTCACTGTCATTACCACTGTTACTTTATGGTTACTACCACTGCTCTTCATTATTATGACCAAGTACAACCCCTTCAAAAGACTGTAATCACAGTTTTCTTAGCCAGCATATTTAACATGTATGCCAACACCCAAATTTTAGCTAGCAGATGTGGGACAAGTTTTCTACCTAGTTTAAAATGTTGGAAGAAAAAACTTACATGTATCTTTAGAACTATGATCTTCAGACTCAGAAAAATAATGGTCTACATCCCAACAACATGGGAAACTGTGTGGGTAAAGTACAGAACATCTTAACAAGAACAAGATTTAGCTTCCATCAATTCTCAAGACCCTAAAACACCAAGAACATTCACTTAAACACTACGGCAAAACTCTTGTGTGATTCCTGAGCTCAAAAATCTGATTGTTGCTGGGGGTGAGGGATGGGGTTGGGTGGTGGTACACACTTTTAATCCCAGCACTTAGGAGGCAGAGACTGGTGGATGAAGCTCTGTGAATTCGAGACCAGCCTGGTCTACAGAGCAAATTCCAGGACATGCTCCAAAGCTATAGAGAAACCCTGTCTCGGAAAAACAAAACAACCCTCCCCCCAAAAAAGATCATGTTCTAATATCTCTAACATATTAACAAATGGTTTAAATTTCTTCATGTTAGATAAAGTACCAAATAATGCAACAATATTATTCCACATAGCTGGAATTTTAAATTCACCTTGGCCATGTTATATACCTTAAGAATCTAACAACCAGATTAAACCCCATGAAACATAAAATAGTCAACTTGCATTCAGTTATCTGTAAGTCTGTGCCTGACAAATTATTTCATACAAATGGACAGTCATTTATATAACATCTATAAGGAAAGCCTCAAGACAACTGTTTAAAAAAAAAGTATTGCAATAATTGTGAAGCATTATACAATGTAGATAACTGGTTGTGATTATTTTAGTTCAATATTTTTGTTGTAACTACCAGATTGTTCTTTAGTGGCATTCTACTCAAGATTTCTATGAATTAACAAAGTAAGTTGAAACAATTCGATTGATGATTTGAAGACCTTGAAATTCTTAGGTTAGATTCTAAGACAACAACATCATCATCTCACAGGAAAGAGACTAAAAAATTTTATATTTTATTATGTTAAATCAAATACATTCATGCCTATCCATAAGATACATTAGTTTGCATCTCCTATCTTAAATTTTAAATTACAAACTATCTCACTACAAGTTTACTATAAGAAAAAAAGAAGCAATAAATTTGGCCAATTGGGGAAGACCATGCTGTCCAAATTACAAGGAAGGGAAACTGCCTTTCACCAGGCAAATTTCAAGACTATGTTATTCTATCATCGGGTCAAGGGGATGATACCTGAGACACACTTCTGGGGTTGTTTGCATAGTCTGTGAGCTCTCTGTAGGAGAATGACAACAGAAACCATACTCATGGGCTATGGAATCCTATGCTTGTACTTATGACCACATACTAATCATTCAGGAATAAATATAAGACATTTTGTAGTTATACATTTTGAAACACAGAAGCTCTATATTATATTAACTATGAAAAAAATCAAATGAGGAACTTTTTTGTTTAATATGAAATCATTTATCAGTTAAGACTCCCCAAAAGGAACCAAGAAAAAATAGTAACACAACATGTACTGTAATATCAAAATATTTTTTACCATTTTGGTAATGTTAATAAGCCTGATAAAGCTTCACAAAAAATGAGTATATTTTTTAAAAAATTCTATTTCTACATAATCTTTTTATTAAAAGCTAATTAAATGGTGAGAAGTATTTTAAAGAACCTTAGAATTAAGGCATGACAGAATTCACTCTTCTCTGAAAAATACTATAAAATTAAAATAATGGTTTAAACAATCCATAAATGAAATATTTTGACTGTCTTGTATTTCACACTCCTTATTTATAAATTACATGGGAAAACTTATTTTATGTTCTATGCTAGAAATTATGACTGGATTCATCTGAGAAAAGGTTTTTACCCAAGGAATGAGTATGTGTATGTACATCTAGATATGTATGTATGTATGTATGTATGTATGTATGTATGTACGTATGTATGAACTTACCTACCGAACATCTATGTATGTATGTATGTATGTATGTATGTATGTATGTATGAACTTACCTACCGAACATCTACGAGTCACATCCCCCACCTAACCTCTTTCCAACAAATCTTACCACAGTCACACAACGATAGGGCATATTCCGGTGTATACGTGTACACATCCATGCTTGTACACACACACACTAACATGTTTAAAAAGCACACAAAAAAGACATTTTAAAAAATGGTTCAAAAAGAGAATAAAACAATAGACATGAAAATTCAAATACATAAATGTCACTGCCTTGTAAGCAAACAGACATCCTTTCTTAAGAACTGAGGGACAGATAAATAAGAATTAAGGATAGTTTACACGTGCTAATAAAACCATAGTCAACACCAAAAACTCTAGAGCTAACAATACAGTATCTGCCTTAACTTAACTGGGGTTAGGAATGTGGCTCTGTGGTAGAGCACTGGGTTAACATGTGTCAAGTCCTAGGTTTAACCCCAAGCGATGGGAAACAATGAACAATAAAGTAATACTTTAAAATATGAAAATATTTTAGAATGTTAAATAACATTCTGATGGAACATTATGAACATACATAATAGAAAATTACCACACTATTCCTAATTGAATTGAAAGTACACACTTTACTCTGGAACGGCAAAGTAAATTATCTGAATAACGAAGTAATTTTGAAATTTATGAAAATATTTCAGGATGACATCTCCATCTGAACATATATAACTACAAATGGCTAAAACACCTATACAGGAGCCAAAAAACATTGTACTTTGATCCTCTGTAAATTATTAGGAAATAGCTCACTAAAGCACCGTGTACCTCTATCTTTATACTGATTACAAAAGAAAGTGAGGCAGTCGAAGGACTGTCCAGTGATAAATTCTTAGAGTGGAGTTTTGTATAAGAGTGGGGAAAAACTTTTGTTACTCAGATAAACCTGTCAACTAATCCTTTGACCATTTATAGTTTACCCGTGAAATGACTCAGTATGTTTCAATTAGCCTGAGTTTCATTTGTCAAAACCATAATATAATTTTGCCAGTTCCAAAACTGATTTTTACAAATCAAACAATTTGATTATTTTAAAGTGAAATCTTACTCCTGAAAATGATGAAACACAAAATATCACCAAATTTGTTTTTTAGAAAATGTTCTTACTGTAATGAGGTCATTCCCTTTAACCATTCTTCCTTGGTAAAAAATCCCATGCTTTCAGCCTCCAATTTCCACGCTAAAACTAACATAATAATCTGAAAAGCAGAGAACATAAAGGACAGGGAAAAGTCAGCGATGATCATGGCTACATTCATCATGGTAACAGTCTTAAACAATTATTTCCAGTTGTCCACTATTAGACAGTACAGCTTCTAGATCGTCACTATGAAATAGCTGAGATGTGCCAATCTTCAGGCAGCATTTAGGAATGTTGACTCTTCTTCTTCCTCTTTAGGATAAGAAAGCCACTTTTAATTTAGTATTTGGGAAATACTTTCTTTAAAAAAATAAAACTTGGAGCTTGAGAGATGGCTCAGGGCTTAAGCGCATTAACTGCTCTTCTAAAGGTCCTGAGTTCAATTCCCAGCAACCCAATGGTGGCTCACAACCATCCATAACGAAATCTGGTGCCCTCTTCTGGCCTGCAGGCATACATGCAGGCAGAACACAGTATACATAATAAATGCACAAATCTTAAAAAAATAAAAATAAAAACCCTAGTGTGAATTTACAATATTAAACATGAAGACAAATATCTTCATATTCTCAGAAATATGAAGCCTCAATTTTCAGAAATTTATGAAAATGTTGTAATCCACTTATATTTCATTTTACTTAGAAATAGCCGGGCGTTGGTGGCACAAGCCTTTAATCCCAGCACTAGGGAGGCAGAGGCAGGCGATCTCTGTGAGTTCAAGGCCAGCCTGGTTTCCAGAGCGAGTGCCAGGATAAAACACAAACAAAAAAACCTTGACCCAAAAAAAAAAAAAAAACAAAAAAAAAAAAAAAGAAAAAAAAAGAAATAAAACATACATTTTCAGGTTCAACACCAATGTCTTCACAAAATTTTTCCATTCCTTCTGGCCCTACAACTTCATCAGGACCTTCAAAGACAAAAAAAAAAAAAAAAAAAATTCATATATTTTATTACATTTATTATGAACATGAATTAAGCTATGACACTAAAGGCATACATGAAAATATTCTAATTATTTTTTTTTACAAATAAGTGAATTTAAATTTTAGCATAGTTCTGAAAAGTATAAATATTTAAAGATTTTATTCCTTAAATATATTTCAATATGAATTAAGAACTTTTTTCTTTTTGTTTTTTAGGTATCACTATGTAGCCCAGGCTGGCCTGGAATTCACAGAAAATCACCTGCATCTATGTCTAAGTAATGGGATTAAAGGTGCGAGCTACCATACCCAGTGAGTTAAGGACTTTTTTTTTTTAATGAGCAGTAAAGAAATATTCCACTAGTATAAATCAGTAGTTTACAAAAAGAACAAACCAAACAACACAAACTTATTCATTTTTTTTTTTTAAAAATCTACTAAGAACTTACTCTGAATAAAACTTTTGACAATGTAAGGCTATACAGCATATGGAGTTTAAATTATCTTTTTTGTTTCTTATTTTAAACTAGATCTCTAAAAGTCAATGTAATCCTTTGAACTTTGTTTTTTGTTATCAGATTCACAAAATAGAGTAATTATCATTGCCAATTCTCCTATGCCTAAAAATGACCTAAAGCAAATGTCATGATTTGAAATATGACATATCACTACAAAAATGTCTTGAAACAGTATTACATTATCCAAAAAGCCTCTATTTTCCTTATTATTTAAACAAAACAAAACAAAACAATCTAGAAATAAAAACACCAGACTTGCTGAGCATTGGTGGTGAATGCCTTTGATCCCAACACTCGGGAGGTAGAGGCAGGCGGATCTCTGTGAGTTCAAGGCCAGCCTGGTCTCCAGAGCAAGTGCCAGGATAGGCTCCAAAGCTACACAGAGAAAACCTGTCTCGAAAACCAATAAAAATAAATAAATAAATAAAATAAACACCAGACATTAAAGCTAAGTAGGCCAATGTTTACACACCTGAATGAACTTCTTAGTTGGAAAAGCATCCAAAAGCTTCACATTTGATTTTTTACTTTTATTATTGGATGTACTTTTATGCACTTATCCACCACCAAAATAAGATACCATGACAAGAGTTAGAAAAGCAATTAGTCTTGTTTATTTCCTCTATCAATAACTGTGGTGATACCTGGATTGTTCAAATAAAGCCTGTCTGAAGGTCAGAGAATGGAGTGTGCCACTAGCTAACCATAGAAGTCTGTACAGACGGACAGGAAATGAGGTAGCTGGGTGGAAGCAGGATATAAGCAGGGAGAAACAGGAACTTGCTCTCTTATCTGCGGAGATGCTCAGGAGGTAAGGTGTAACAATAGTTTGTTCCTCTCTGATCTCTCAGCATTTTCCTCTTTATCTGACTGCAGGTGTTTTTACTTAGACCAATTAAAAACTCCATTTACAAATAACATACCTATTTCCTTCTCCATTCTTCCTCATCCCCTAATAGTTTAGGCTTTCTTGTTCTTTTCTACATGTCACACTGTCTCTCCGTGTAGCACTGTCTCTACATATAAGTTTGTTTACAAATATACTTATTATTAGATTGTCTAGATCCCAAAAATGAGATCATGAATTTTACTTCTTGAGACTGTGTCCCCCTTGCACATTTTAACTTTCCTTTCTTGAACAATTAGAAAATATCCCAGCTTTAGCTAGTCAAAGTGACACAAGTTTATAATCCCAGTACTTGGGAAGTAGAGGCAAGATTTAAGAGTTCAAGGCTAGCCTGGGCTACACAGGACCCTGCATCAAAACAAAACACTACAGACTTAAGTTATAGATTAAACTAATTTTAGCAGGTACATTTCACAGTACAGACTACAGATACAACACAAAACCAATGTAATATAGCCATCTACTATGGGATCAATAAGGTGATGTTAACGAACAATTAGAAATTAGAGATGGTTCTATATAAAACATACATATGATCTTATGTAGACAAGGTCTGTGTTGTTACTCCCCCCACCCCCCCCAAAATAATGAAAATAATAGGCCT